GAATTCCAGTCAAGTACAGCAAGGGGTGGGAGGACGAGGGGAGGGGGAGGTAGGGGTGAGTGGTCAAGTAGTTACAGTTAACGGGTGTTCGTCGAGAATTTCACGTATTTGGAGCGACTCTCTAAAGAACTGACATTTGATACATTTTCGCCCAGGTTTTTTCACGGGATCCGGCGAGACGTCAAGGAAGTTCTCACGACAGAGACATTCGTACGACAGCGGATTGTCCATACACGTAGCGCTCGGATCGCAGTCGTTCAACTTCTTGTCGCCACATTCATTCAGAAGTGCTGAAAAACACTCGCCGTGATACATTCACTCGTACGTTCAATTGAAACTGAAAACGTATTGGGTGAAATCGCTCACGTATGCATGTCCCATTGAACCAAGTACTCGTGGAATTGCATGCGCAGGAGCTGTTCCCTGTGCAGGAAGTATTCGCCCCTGAAAGGAGCTTATTGAAGCCCATGAACCATCATCTGTAGGAGTTGACCAGAACGTACCTTGAGTCGCAGGATCGAAGCTTACAGTTCCTGCCTCTCTTGTTACGGCACCAGAGGTTACAGACTTCGAAGTAGCCTGAATAAATGGGAATGAAAAAAGCATTTGACCTCTTGGGCTCCCTTCCAAAGCAAGTGAGAAACTGCCAGAATGTAAGGTCCCAAGTAGATAAACTAAACCGCCTACTCTTGATGTTGGCGGGGAGGTTTTGTAAGAAAATAGGTGGATGTCACCTAATTTCTCCCTAAAACTTGCTTAATAGAACAATTCACGACGAAAATCTGTCTGATTAATTGGGCAGATAAAATAATAGGATTAAAGGCAAGTGGCACGATAAATCCCCAACGAGTGTGGGATTAATACGCCTAGCAGGACAGAATTTGCCGCCCCTGCATGCGTGGCGCCTTTTTCGGGGGAGATGCCCTTATAGCGCCCTATCAAGCTGCAACACACCGACCCGAACGCACACGCGCCTTCCCGCCCACAAACGTCCGAGCGATGCTGATGGTATAGCTTCATTGGCGAAGTACAATATAAAGAGAAGAGACTATGAAGTGGCTGCGATGATGCATGGATATACAGTGCGTAACAAAAGTATGTGGACACCCCAAATTTTGATTTTGCGAAACTGTTTTTGGATATTGCGATCTGAGACCATCACTGTTAAATTCCTCATAAGCGAAAGTATAGGAATGCACTACCTACGAGCACATTGTGAACTACTGAGCAATGATTTATTGTTTTGAAAAAATTTCTTAATAACAAAAGTATGTGGACACTTAACAAAAAACAAAAGTATCATGGAAATTAAAACTTGGTGCTCCTCCCGCGTTCACTATTACTTCGAACATTCTGTCTGGCATGCTGTGGACAAGATTTGTGATAGTGTCTTCGTCGATTTCCTCCCATGCAGCCACTACCGCCTCCTTGAGGTCTCGCGCACGCTGTTGTACTGCCGATTGTTCACGTAAATTCGTCGAACCATAATTCCCCACAGGTTTTCGATTGGGTTGCAGTCAGGAGAACATGCCGGCCAATCCATCACTTTGATACCATTGCGTTGGAGCCAATTTTTAGTAGAATTTGAAACATGCACGGCGGCGTTGTCCTGCTGCAGCACATCTGTCTGGATCGTGCGCCATTCAGGCAAGAGGTGGATTCGAGCACTCCTTGATATTCCTGACTGTTCATACGGCACGATGGGAAGGCGAGCTCTAACTTTCCGCTGGTTCCAAAACCACCCCACACCATCAAAGAGGCGCCTCCGAAATTTCGCCTCGAGAACAGCAATGGATCGCGACGAAGGTCTCTCCAGTAGTGCCGATATCCATCTGGACCGTCGAGATCGGACTTTTTTTCATCGGTGAAGATAACCTAAGAAAGAAAAGCGCATGGGATGTTGCCTTTCTGATTTTACAAATTTCTCAAAAAACTTCACCTTGTCCCACGACCACGACGTCGCCATGTTTGCACGCGCGAAGTTCAGTCTCGCCAGCTGGTGTTGGGCAGTCAGGCGAGGAGCTTTCTTCATGGTCTCTCGTGTGATATGCTCATTTGATCGAATATAGCGCCATATCGTCATTTTTGAGACCGGTAGATTCACTGCAGCATGGATCTGTCTCACAGAAAGGGGGGAGTTTGAGGCGACCCGCGCTATTCTTCTGATGTCTTTTGCGGACAAAGATCGAGGGATGGCGCCCGCAAATATGGCGGCTGAAGTAGTAGCCATTAGAAGTCTGGAGGTGGGGATGCGGTGATTTAACCAACGCTACGTTCGCCAACGTTCGAGCTGTCTTGCAATTTCTCTATTTGAGTGTCCAGCAGCACTGAGAGCTCGAATCTGAGATTGTTCGTCTTCGGAGAGAGTGCTGCCACGACGAGGCATGAGTACAGATTAATAGGGGAGCAGAGACGATAGATATGGGTTGCAGATTTGGAGTCAAACTTTGAACTTTCTCAGGTGTCCACATACTTTTGTTATTAAGAAATTTTTTCAAAACAATAAATAATTGTACAGTAGTTCACAATGTATTCAGAAGTAGTGCATTCCTATACTTTCGCTTATGAGGAATCTAACAGT